TCTACTGGACATCCCAATATCCACTGAATGTCCAATCCATGATGGATATCTATTTTATATTAATGAGATGTAATTTATAGACATGCAAATGTCCATAAATAATAGTAATTATAAAGCAAATTAATAAAAAATTACGCTATTGTGCTCGCCATTGTGGCTAATAGTATCGTGTATTCAATATCCTATGGACATCAACTAATTAAATCAAAGTCTAGGCGCGAACGCAAACCATGGTGGATATCCATTAGATGTAATTTTTGATTTTGCTTACTAAGTATAGATGGCGATACCACTTTCGTTCGTTGAATATCTACTCATGCTCAGCCCGCCGTAAATAAGTTCGATCGAAATTGGTATATCAATCAGACTCCATTAGAGACAGGAGTCGAGAATTTCCATTTATTTCTGAGTCCTAATAAGGATGACTTTCTCCTTAGTGGGCAAAATCAAAGGCAGACTCCGGCAGTGTTGAAAATATTTTGAGTGTTGAAAATATTTTGAGATAATTTTAATATCCTGTGGATATATTGGATATCCACAAAAGATATTCTGTGGATATGTCTGGGATTTGGTGTGTTGTCTGGGTATTGTGTTGATGTTGATTTGATTCTATTCTAGATATACAAAGGTTGCATCATCTTAGGTAAATATTTTGATGAGTATAGAGGTGATGACCAATGGAAGTAACGAACAGCGCCAATTCGCCAGTTGATTACTATGTTGATTTCATATATACGTTGTTTCAAACCTAGTAGAATGGGTTGCTTAGCCTATAGGTGTTCCCCCTTGAGCTAACGACCAGTGTATTCACCAGTTAGTTAACTTACTATTAAACTTTACCTTCTTGATTTGTACAATTTATCCAAGACAGCACATCCCTGTATATTTCTACAATATTGATTTTTATAATTTCTATTGAAATGACTTAATACAATCCTGTATATTTTTTAATATTGATTATTATAATGTCTAACGAAATTATTTAATACAACCCTGTATATTTCTTAATATTGATTTTTATAATTTTTATTGAAATACTCAAAAATTCGCCCATCAAACAGATGTCTATCCTAACTGTCTTTCGGGGTATATGACCTGAAGGCCATGTGGTTTATTGGTTAGATTGATATTATTTTGTAGCCAAAAGCCATCGTTTAAACGAAACCCCGGTGGTATCTCAAAAAAGTTTTCTTTTGACTTACCATTGAAAATAAAGACATAAGATTATGTACTAATTTCATCTAGCGTTTTGGCGGCGTCGATTTAGGTACGTCGCAGCGTTGAGCGTCGCCTTGCGTCGAAGCGCCTAGCATCGTGGTTGAGAAGAAGGTATTTATTACGTTACTGCATTGAGACAGATATACGGTAGAATTATTTAGATGGTGCAGGACGTAACTAAGGGTGTCGACAAGGATATTATGAAGGACATATTTAGGGTCGGCAAGTCTTAGAAATAAAGCATGGGACGTTGACATCATTCAGGAAAAAGAAGATATTGTAGGATAGACGTTGTTTAGGAAGAACGTTTAGGAAAGGTACTGACTACTAATCTTGAAATATAACTGGATACAAATAATAAATAAATGCTTGCACATCAAATAATAAAAAATAAATGAATACGAGCTTCTTTGGATCAGATTCTCTGTGTCTTTAGTTTCCAGAAATACGAATGTAGGTGCAAAGGGGGTGGCTTATATATTATGTGCCTTGAGAGATTTGTGTATCGAAATATTGTCATAATCGGTCTTAACATTGAAATTAGAAAGCTAAGCAAGTTTAGTGTTTTTATGATGATTACTTCTGGTAAGAAATATGTTTCATGGTGGTTTCTTGGTCTAAGTTTTCAGACATGTGCACGAAATTTGGATCTTTTATGGACCTGGCTATAGATATTATTTATTAGGTGTCGTAAATAAGATTTAAGTATCTGAGAGATTTTTCTTTAAATGAAGGATTTTGAATTTAATAAGAATACAATATTATGTTTAATAAATGGAAATAATAAATTATTAAGGTACCTGGGTGCGGTAGGTTACAGTAACCATCTTGAAATTGACATATTTCATGATAAATTCTTTAGTTGTGGGAATAAATTGAAAAAATTGTACTTAAATACCATTTAGTGAAATTCTTATATTTTTTTACATTCTTTGTAATAGGAGTAATCAAATTTTTACCAAAACCTTAATTTTTTATCTGTGTACAATAGTGAATCTGTACTTGAGTTTGTCCGAGTATATTTAAACGATAGGAAACTATGTTAAAAATGGATCACATATTATATAAATGTTAAATTGGGTTAATACAAGAATATATTTGTAGTTTTATTTGTAGTCGTAAAAATTGTATAATACTCGCAAAATAATCTAATAATTTGCCACATTGTCTGAAAACGACTCTGTCTCGATCCCTATTATATAGTGAGCAAGTATCAAAGGGTCTCTTAAATGGCCAGTTTCATGGATACCACAATTTTTTGTCGGTTTCTTATATTCACATAATGATTTGTGCGGTTGATAAGCTCAAGTAGACCAGACCTTTTATTATAAAAGGGACCTTTCCATTAAATTCAATCAAGCTTAAAAAGGATGATGGAGAAGAGTCTCTCATGTAAGAAAGAGTCGTGATGTTGAGTATTCTCTTTTTGAAATTTTCAAAGATAATACCTAAAAAAATTTTTTGAAGCATCCTTATACCGATAGAAGCGGTTCTTGTAAAAATATTAACTTGTTATTTATAAAAAAAAATGGAGATTAAAGAATCCCAGAGATTGATAATGTACAATTTTCCCATTATACTGATCCTATGAAAGATCACAGTAACTCAACTTTAGCTGAAATTGATAGAAAAATATTTTACTTACATATCTAGAATAATACACAAAATAACAAAAATATAAAAGAGTTGATATAGATATCTGATGGAACTAAACCGAATAGCAGACAAGTATACTAAGAAAAAAATAACACTAAAATAAAGACAAAAAAAAGATTTATTGGTTCTGCAATATAACACCTGGTCGAGAGGAATCACTAAGCCATAATTTTGATTTAACCTAACTCAACCAAAAAATGCTTACACACATTTTTGTATTTTTGCTACACTAACATGGATATAATCAATTCTATGCACAAACTACAAAACGAAAAATTATCTCATTGCGTTTAACTGAAATTTCATATCCATTCTAACTAGTAACAACTTCAGATAAAAAGTAGATAAATAAAAGTCAAGATTTGTCTGGCTGTCTGTCTACGAACTGTGGACTGTAAAATGTTCCCCAGACACAGAAGAAGAAATAGACAATAAAGAAAGAGCTTAGATAGTACAAAGAAGCAAAAGAAATAGCAAAAAAGAAAAAATACGAGAAGTGTCACCTCAAAACCAACCAAAGAACAATACAACGTACAAAAAAAAGCAAACTTAAACCACCCAAATAAAAACGCTCAACTAAGTATTGCACAAAAAGAACATCCCAAATAAAAACGCTTAACTAAGTATTGCACAAAAAGAACAACCAATACAAAAACTACCATCACCAATAATAGTAAATCAGGTCAAAAACTTTGAAGAGTTAAGATAAAAATATAGAACAATGACAACAGATCTTTCAAACCATAGCTACCAGTGGCATTCATATGAGATAAAACAAACGGGGAATTGAATTTGATTTAATTAATAAATATTTAGATTTTGTTCTTTGAAAATATGATACCGTTATTTAAGAAATATTGTAGTTAGACTGATTTAAGAAATTTAAGTAGTTTAAAATCCGGGAATTAAATTTTATTTAATTGATAAACACTTTTGTTATTAAAACAAACTTAAATAAAATAGTATCATTTCCCTGTCTGAGCGAGCTCATGATGGCGATCAGCTCATTCTTGGATTAGGTGCTATAAGCGTTATATTTTCTTTTTCCCTTGTTTTTATTTTTATTATGTTTGTGCGAATTGTAAATTTAAGTAATTTTTTAATATTATCATTTGCCTATCTGAGCGGGCTCGTGATAACGATCAGTTCATTCTTGGATTAGGTGCTATCCGCGTTGGTAGTTTTTCTTCCCACTTTTAGTAGTTTTCTTTCTTTCTCTTTTATTTACATCTGAACTGCACACTGAAGTAAACTTAAATAAAATAGAGTTCGAGAGTGTATTTAAACGAGTCAACATCGTTTGAATTTTGCTCCGTAGTTTATTGGTATTACATACTAGTGATTAACCAAGTTAAATTTATTGTTAATTTGTTTTACAAAAACCGACGTATGTATTAAACATTTTACGTACTTTTAATAGAATTTCTGTCGTCGCGCTGATTGCTTCTATTTTTTTCGTTTCTACTTCTTTATATGAACTGATAATAGCCAAATCATCAACAGAGTTTCTATACAATTCAGTTTTTTACCTGCCCTCCTTATCAGAGGCGTTGTCAGTATTTTAATATTGATATATTGCTGCACACTGAATCAAAACCATCAAGTTGTAACTAATTAAGTCAACCTAACAAATTGCTTTTGAGTACAAGGGCAAGAACAAATCAAACAGTTTTACCTCAACACACAGAAACCAAAATGTCACACAATTTGAAAACCAATAATCCAGTTTCCAGCAACAGTTACGTATCAGCCCTTAAGACAACACCTAAACCATCTTTCTCAAAAAAGAATTAAGCCATAGTGATGTACGCTAATGATAACCTAAAGTTATTTGAATATGTTAAAGTAATAGGCGATATTGTAGGCTCCAAACATATCTGTTTTGCTTCGAGGATATCGAATAACCGGATTTGTATCTATTTAGTCAATTCTTATCTCGTTAACGATCTTTTAAAATCCCATGCATCCGCAACTATTAACAATATTGTTATAAATACCCGCAGACTCGTTTCTCCGACAAAACAAATAATCATCTCAAACATATCTCATTATATACCCCATAATCTCGCTAAAAATGCTATGAAAAGTCTTGGTTTACAGTTAACCTCCCCTGTCTCGTTTTTAAGATCTGGTATTCCAGGCGATGAACATTTACATATATTAAGTTTTAGACGACAAGTATACGTTCTTCCTCCCTCGAAGGACTTTGAATTGCAGACATCATTAATCATCCCTTTTGACGGCAACGAAAACAGAATCTTTCTATCTACAGATAAAATGGAGTGCTTCAATTGCAAGCAACCCGGACACATCGCTTTAAATTTCCCAAATCCTCCAACTAACAACATACTGTTACAACCCACTCTATTGGAACAATCTGAAGAGGTATCTTCAAAAACAAACTCTGTAAACCTAATAGAAAGCAAAGAAGTGAATTCAAATAAAGACCCGACAATCCTACAAGAAAATCAACCTGCTGCAGTTCTGACCTTAGCCCAAAAACGATAATATTCCCAGCTTCCAACACAAAGCGAAAATTCAAGGTTACCCGCTGAAGCAGAAAATAACACAGACGTTATGCCTCTCCCTGCATCCTTCTCACTTTCCACACCAGCTCTAAAAGCAACAAAGAAAAAGCGCAAAGTGAGTGTATCCACTTAATCAAACCTCACTATAACCATAAAACAATGTATAGCAAAAACATATTAGAAAATGCCAGATGCGTTCATACTTCCCATAGAAAACCTTTACGACTTCTTAGAAAATTCCTTTGGTAACTCTAATGCATACTTGGAAGCCTTAAAAGACACAGATAACATTATTGGCCTAGTCTTAAACCTAAATTTAATTTATCCTGATTTCACAGATAGATCCATAAAGAATAGAATTACCCATATAATCAAAAAAATTAAAAAAAGCTTAAATCCGACACTGCTGTCTTTAGTGATATTTTTCACCAAGAACTACTGTTAAATACAAACTCAGAAGCAGTTGCCATCCGCATGGTGTCCTAACAAAATTGTAATTTGCAGTGTATATATGTCTCCAAACCACACTGTAAGAGATACAGATATAATGGAACTCATAAGTCAACTTCCTATACCTTTTATCTTGGTAGGTGACCTTAATGCCCACAACACAATGTGGGGTTCAGAACGTATGTTTGGCCGTGGAAAATGATTAAAACCACAATCAACAGTTGCAACATTAGTCTACTAAACACTGGCAGCAGCACATACTTTCACGTACAATCCGGATCCTTCTCCTCATTAGACCTCAGCTTTTCAGATCCAGGAACAGCACCCTTACTAACATGGCATACGTTTGATAGCCTCTATGACAGTAACCACTTTCCTATCCTAATTTCAGACAACGAACCAAAACAGGTTAACATTAAAGGAGAGTGGAAAATCGCAAAAGCAAATTGGAATCTCTACAACCAAACGCTAAAGGAAACTACAGTCAATATCAACTATTTGAATGATGTAAACAAAACTGTTGGTCAATTTACTAACTCCATAATTTCTGCAGCCAATAGATGTATAGGAAAGTACTCGACCAACCTTCCAAAACGAACCGTTCCCTAGTGAAATGATTTTTGTAACATTGCTATGAAGGAGTGCAGAAAGGTGCTTTATAAATACCTAAGAACCAGAAATAACTTAGACTTGATAAACCTCAAAAATAATTTTAAAACAACGTAAACGAGAGTAGTCGTGGAATACGTTTACAAGCACAATAACCTGAAACCTCTCCTACTCAAATCTGGACCAAGATAAGACAGATGAAAGGAAGAAACACCAGCTCTAAAATAAATAAGTTAATGGTACTGGATGCGCTGTTACTACAGTAGGCATAACAATAGCAACATACAAACTACTTGACCCGTATAGTATACACACAGCCGAATTATATGAAATACTACAAGCTTTGAGGACTCCAGTACAGAATAACAGTAAACTTGCGATATGTACGGACTTCCTTTCATCAATATACTCCATTAAAAACAACTACTTACAACATCCTTTAGTTCAAGATATCCTCGACACCTGCCACCACCAATGTACTAGAGGTATCGCTGTGAATATCATCTGGATCCCTTCTCATGTAGAAATTAATGGCAACGAACGTGCAGACCAAGCAGCGAAACAAACTTGCTCCTCCGACTTGCCAGTAGAGTAAATTCAACTTCACCAAGACTTAAAATCAGCAGCTCGACAAACGATGATTCACACATGGCAAACACATTGGAATACACGCAATACGAAACTCCGTTCAATACAACCCACAGTTAACGCTCAGAAGATACCTACACTGTCAAGAAAAGTCAAAAGCGTTATCAGAAGACTCAAAATAGGTTATTCCCGGCTCACCCATGGTTACCTGATGTCCTTACAGAATCTTTCTATCTGTGAATTCTGTGATAGTGTATGACTTACAATTGAGCATATACTTTTAGATTGCCAACACTACAGCTCAACTCGTCGCAAAGACAAGCTCAGTGGAACTCTTAAAAACATGCTCGGTCTACCTAACCAGTTTAGTGCTGTGATTCAGTTCCTTAAAGAATGTAGACTGTTTAATTTTATTTTATTTTATATGTAACCAAATGTATCACAGATCCCGTGTCAGTGCCGAGACACGTTAATTTTAATTAAAAAAAAAAAAAAATAGTATCATTTTTTTTTTCCTTTTTTTACATGCGAATCGCAAATTTAAGTAATCTTAAATGGTTTCATTCCCCTGTCTGAGCGGGCTCGTGATGACGATCAGCTCATTCTAACCTAACCTAACCTTGTAACATAACTGAAAACAATCGCCATGTATTTCTGAATTTTACTTAAAAGGCGTACCATTTATATTAAAAATTGACGAGTGATCATTTTTATAATTTTCTACAATATAGCCAAAAATAATATATTCGATTAGTAGTATTTATCGACACAATATATAAATGACTAGTGAAAAAAAAATACATTTTAAATTGGAGTAAAATTCACTCACATATCCAATTTTCTACATAATTTCATAAAATGTCTATAGCGAAACCATCAATCACCACGAATTATAGCACCGTAAATACAAAAAAAAATAGGTTGGCATGATTTGATTAATTTTATGTGTCTTTCGGGATTGATTACAAGCCGTCACAGTAAATTAGGCTCTGCGAGATATAAAGCGATATATGTCGGAAAAATATGAACTGGTCGTATCAGGATTTGTTTGACAGTCAATATTAAATTATTCGGAGATTTCTAATAGCGGCGGTAACCTGCCCAAACTTTTTTTAATACAATCTCATTTCGTATTATCAGAAACAGAGGTTTTACAATTTAATGTAAATCTTAAAATGTTGGAATGAATCTCGTAAAAAATATAATTATATTTTAAACTTTTGTAGGAATTATATTTTTATGTATGATTATAAAATATAATTAAGGAAGTATATTACTATAATTACAATCTTATTACAGATGATCCACAAGTTGTTCGTGACTCTTAGCAAAATTGTTGATGGTCTGAAGTCAAGGTTTCTAAAATACCAAGGGATATTAACTATGTTCTTCAGTACTTTGTCCTAAAACGGCTTTATTATTTCAATTTTACTTTTACAGCCAAATCTCCACAGCTAAATACCATATATTCACACTGTTTACCTGTGTATAATTTACAAAACGGTGATAAACAAAAAAATTAAAACTTATCAGGTTAAAAAAAAACTGGACAATAGATTCTCTAGTTAAACGGTAAACTAAAATAACCTATAAAAAAAATAAAAGTAATCCAACTAATCAGAATTTAAAACTCAAATACAATAAATATAAACAAACTTTAAGTAAAATAATAACTAAATCAAAAACCAAATATTTTAAAAACATTATAATTAAAAAAAAAACAAATTAGAACATACTGTGGAAAACAATCAATTAAATTCTCTCAATAGCAAATGAAATAAAATTAAAAAAAAAAAATTAAAAAAATGAAATATAAAAATAAAAAATATAAAATAATTACAGATCACGTAGCTATTGTATCTACCTTTAAATAACTATTTTTGAATTATTGGTAGTAGCATTGGGAGAATCTGAGTTTGGTACTAATATGCTATCAGGTAGGATAGGCATTTTTCTAAATTTGATTGTACTTGGGTGTGATGGTAATAAATTCAAATCGAATAATATAAAATAGCTACATTTTTCTTATTATACAATATGTCAACTTATTATGAAAATTATATTTTTGTTCGACAAGTATATAAATAACTGCGGCTTTTAAATTAGTTCTTAAGCATAAGTGTAGTGAATCATCTATAATCTAATACTCCTCCTCACGAACTAATGCCAACTAGTGAATTCCAAGACTACTAAGTTTGATAAGTCTTGGTTCAGGTAGTCCTTTTGTGAACAACGTCGCTTACGTTTCTTTAGTCTGCAGATATTTGAGTTGTTGTGTTGTCTGGTTGTCGTTAAAAAGAGTGATTGCGTCTTGCTTTATTCCCAAATATACATGGATCAGCTTGTGATGCGCTGAAGCCTACAGCTTTTAACTCTGTATCTAATTGTCTTCCACATTATTTCAGCCCATAAATTGTTATATTAATTTGGTTTAATTTTAGACCCTCATCTACAGCTATAGCTAGCAATAACCTAATGGAACTTAATTTTGCCATGTTTCATTGTAGTTTATACCATTTTTTTGGCTGAATCCTCTGGATACAAGTCTTGCATTGTTGGTCTCTATATTATTTTGTCCAATTTTTGTCTTCAGTATTATTTTATAGTCTACAATATTTCTGTTACTTTTTTTTTCAATTATTTTCCAGATTCCATTTTTTACATGCGCTTTCATTTTAGATTTGATGTATTCTGCCATTCTTCACTATTTATTTTATCTAATTCGCATAACATGGATAATTTACTTATTTCTTCTATCTCATAGTCTTTTAACCGTATTGGTGGCTTTCGTTCATGTTGTGACTTTCTGCTTGTAGATTGTATAGGAGGTTCGTTGGTATTTTGACCGATTTATGTGAGCACAGTTTCTTCATCTACTACATTGTCATGAAATTCTTCAGCTACAGGAATTTTTGCAATCTTGTTGATATCTAGTTCAATAACATTTGGATAATTTTTGTAATTTTTAACTGTTTTCTAGTAGAACATTTTTTCTGTTACTTTCACATATCTACTTATAACGACATCATCTTTACTTGGTACATATATTCTGTTTTCTTTTGTATTTTTGGCATATCCAAGAAACATTCCTTCTGTCGCTTTTGGTGCGAACTTCTTTCTTCTTCTAAGCTTATTCAAGACAAATGCTTTGGAACCAATTATGTGTAGGTGATTAACATATGGAATTCGACCAACCCATTGTTGATGTGGTGTCTTTCCATTCAGTGCTTTGGTAGGACTTCTGTTAATTAAGTAGTTGGCAGTCAATATAGCCTCTGCCCATTGCTTTGTAGGCATGTTTGATTTTATCATTAGGCACCTAACTTTTTTTAA